TAAATGCATGTTTATGCGTTCAAAACAAGAAAAGAAATTGTTTCCCGGTATTAATCTCTTGAAACACGGCGCTGAATAGTTGACGCAAAAATATTTCGGCCATCGCGCGCCCTTCCCCGTTGTTTAGACTGTAAGCAAATCCCGCGTCACGTGTCGGCATTTCGCATCTCTGATTGGTCGTTGCGTCTTAAGATGACTGAGCCGACGCGCGTTTAAACAATTTTTCTTTGTTCGATTTATCACACTTCACAGAGAATTGTCGCCAATGGCTACTTCTTTTTGTTGCAATATATAATACTTCACAGAGAATTGTCGCCTATGGCTTCTTGTTTACTTGTTTTGCTTTCTTCGAAGTCCTTCTCTTTGCAAGCCTGTTTGCTTTTTGGTCAGGAGTCTCATTTGCTTGTTTTGCTTTGTATGACAGCCTTCTTTTTGCAAGACTCTCTGCCTTCTGCTGAATTGTTTGTTTTTCTTGTTTGTCCTAAGGACAAATGCATATTGCCCTTTGGATGGGAAGACCTTGCACTTTTTTATCAATTAGGTTTGATGCTGGATTTGGTGACATTACTAGTTGATTCAAGAGACCTTCATTTCTGTTCTCATTCTCAACCATACCACATAGATGTTCGCTTGTGATATTGCCCTTTGGATGGGAAGACCTTGCACTTTTTTATCAATTAGGTTTGATGCTGGATTTGGTGACATTACTAGTTGATTCAAGAGACCTTCATTTCTGTTCTCATTCTCAACCATACCACATAGATGTTCGCTTGTGGTACATGGTACAATGTTTTTCTTGGTACTTTGGTTACATTGTGGTGTAAATGGGAATGCTGTGTTCGGTTGTTGTAGGTTCCCTTTGGTAGATATAAACTCTGGTTTAACCAAGGTGTATGTGTTTTGTTGTTGAACTTGAAAGAAGTTTTCTGACTCAATCATAGTAGGAACATTGCTAGTCAAATTGATAGTCTGTATACCAGTAAGTTCACCTGATAAGAAAACATTTGCTGCTTGTACTGGGACAACCTCAAAATTGCATGTTGTGTTCCAATTAAGTTGTTGCAAGAATGAAACTAGATTGCTGTTTGAAGTGTGCATCTTAAAGTAGAAGTGCCTTGGCTATCTGACAATGCTGTTATGGGACTTCTGGCATGCGAGTCATAAACAAAATACTTGTTATCATTGAGCAGCAATGCTACTGTTGAACCAGTTATTCCATGTGCTGATATGAACAGGCAAGTGTTGGATACAGCAAATGCTGCTTCTAGGGCCTTCTTTAAGGTGTAATAAGGATAGATTGCGTCTGTGGCAAATATGTCTCCAGTGTAAGACTCTTTTATTGATATACGTGCAGTATTGTTGTTAAGTTGCAAATAGTCTCGAATATCATCAATGGAGAGGAACTCAACACCAGATCTTAGTGATGGTTTTATGTAGGTGTATAGTGCATCTCCTTGAAATAGTATACTATCAAGATCTGTACTTGTCCAGGTAATTGCTTGTCTGCAAGTACTATGGTTATTACAACTGCCATTAAAGCATTTGCAGTGTATTGTTTGCCTCTATTATCTCCATTGAAAATGATGTCACCTTGGTGGCATTTTCCTGATAAAATAGATTCACACATTGTTCACAATATACGTGTTCTTTGCTTGACTTTATGTGCAAAATGCACAGTGCTCAATGGCACGATTGGTCTGGTGTGTGCAAAATGCACAGTGCTCAATGGCACGATTGGTCTGGTGTGTGCAAAATGCACAGTGCTCAGTGGCATGATTGGTCTGGTGTGTGCAAAATGCACAGTGCTCAATGGCACGATTGGTCTGGTGTGTGCAAAATGCAGTGCTCAATGGCACGATTGGTCTGGTGTGTGCAAAATGCACAGTGCTCAATGGCACGATTGGTCTGGTGTGTGCAAAATGCACAGTGCTCAATGGCACGATTGGTCTGGTGTGTGCAAAATGCACAGTGCTCAATGGCACGATTGGTCTGGTGTGTGCAAAATGCACAGTGCTCAGTGGCACGATTGGTCTGGTGTGTGCAAAATGCACAGTGCTCAATGGCACGATTGGTCTGGTGTGTGCAAAATGCAGTGCTCAATGGCACGATTGGTCTGGTGTGTGCAAAATGCACAGTGCTCAGTGGCACGATTGGTCTGGTGTGTGCAAAATGCACAGTGCTCAGTGGCACGGTTGAGTTTGGGGTGTGCAAAATGCACAGTGCTCAATGGTAGGGTCTGTTTGGTCTCAGGGTCTAATTTAGTTGGATCAACAACTCTCTTTTAAACCTCCTTGGTTGGATGTAAAATGTAGAGCCTAGATTTCAGTAGAAGTTATAAATGTGTACTTTGTAAAATTTTATTGAGTATAGACTTTTGCTAACTGTAAGATTCTGGTTTTTCTTTTGTCACTCAGGTATATGTAGTAGAGGACAGTCTAAGGCGTCACTGAAACAGAAAGAAAAGATTGCCTTGTTCACAAAACATATTAAAAAACAAAAATCTACAACAAAAGTTCAGGTGTGACGTCTTGCCAACTGCTTCGCTGATTGTTACTGTTAGGTACAACGATCGAAAATACCCTGCATATTTTTTTTTGGGGGGGGGGCGCTCGCAACAATCTACTCCAGCACAGTGCAAATTTACATGATACTGTTCCTTATCAATATCTTTCAAGGTATCTGAATTCATGATCAGTATCTTTGCAACGTAAATCTTATGATCGAAAATGTCCAGGAAATGGACGCACGCCCCCCTCCCACCCAAGTGCATGACGTGAAACTTCTAACGTTACACCCTCTACAAAATGCCTGAGGCTATTGACAGGATCGTCCTGTCAACAGCAGGAAATACTGCACTGCTGACAGGATCGTCCTGTCAATAGCAGAAAATACTGCACTGCTGACAGGACGATCCTGTCAATAGCAGAAAATATTGCACTGCTGACAGGACGATCCTGTCAATAACAGGAAATACTGCATTGGTGACAGGATCGTACTGTCAGCAGTGCCATTTTTGACACTGTTGACAGGATCGTCCTGTCAGCAGTGCCATTTTTGGCACTATTGACAGGATTTTTTAAATCTTCCATTTTGGGCTCTATTGACATGATTTCTTCTTTGTTTTCATTTGTTTAACCAGTCAGAA